CCTCGGGTTACATACGCTTCAGGTTACATACGCTTCAGGTTACAGACTCCGCTAACCCAGAAATAGTGCTTCAGGTTAAGAACTTTGCTTCAGGATGAGAACAGAAATTGTGCAGCGGTGGAGTAGCAGCAGCAGGAGGCCCCATTAGCTAAAGTGGTGCTTCAGGTTAAGAACAGTTTCAGATTAAGTACGGACCTCTGGAACGAATTAAGTACTTAACCTGAGGTACCACTGTATAGGGTAGGAGGATTATTCCACTTCATCCACACAACCAACAAAGAATGTGGTATCCCCAGTCCACATCCAATATATTTTGTGCCAATAAACATACTATGAAGATGACAGCAGAAGTTCCTATTTGGGCAACCTACTAATATGTAAGCAAGAGCTTTCCAAACTTCTCATATTGGTGACACACTTGTTAGACATGCATCATTTTGTGACACAGTAATTCGGTTTTACTAGCAAACCAGAGGTTAAAACTAACCCCTTTCCAGCCCCGGGAGCATTCGTGTGACACACCTACACACTGCAGCCGACACACTAATGTGTCACGACATGCAGTTTGGAAAGCTCTGGTGTAAGCCAATGCCAGGAAAGATGAGGAGCTTTAGTTTCCTGCTGGTGATTATAGCACTATAGGTCTAGAGCATTCCTTGGCAGAGAAGCAAGCTTCACCAGGGCCTGTAGGGTACCTATCCCCACTTTTGCTGCCACAGTCTCCTGCCCCTATCCTAAAACACAAGTGCTTGGGGTAGGATAAGTGGAAAGCATAGGTAGTGGGTACTTTCTGAGTGCCTGTAAGCCTGTTGCACACACTCAAAGCTTTGTACTGGGGAGGTGAAATGTTCATTCATCCCTAGTTGGTTACATTGTTTCTTTTTTCTTTTTTCAATACGATTTCAATTGAAGTGATGTTTCTTAGAGCTCAGTATTATCCAAAAATAACAAGACAGGAATATATGGAAATTTTGACAAGCATTTTTTAAAAAAATTAATAAATGGAAGGGTTTGATCCAGATAAAAACCACTTATCAAAGACAAAGTTCAAAAGAAATGAATTGCTTTCCTGTTGTTTTTTGAAATGACACACAAAAAGGTGTTGTATGCAATCCCTGGATGTTACTTTCATTTTGGCTACCTTGCACTTGGGAGTTTACGACTCCTGACATATCACAGGTACAAATGTAATGTTTTCTTTAGGCTCAGTAGTCATACTGTGTCCAGCTCAATTATTCATATTTGTGCTGAAACTTGCTAGACAAGTGACTGAAACTGTACAAATTGCCCATTCAAACCAACATGTGAAACAGTTTGTTTTGCCTCTGGGGCACATAATTTATTGATTTTATCTAACATCCCCCACACCCCCGAAATTATCTCTTGAGACAATTGTCTCATTTTCTTTAGGTCTCTCAGAAGGCAAGTATACCAAACAGGGTCACTTAAATATATTGCCTGCAAGTAGGTCAAAAGGGGTTTTATCTACAATGCAAGTGGCTTGGGTTTCTAAAGATGCAGGAGGAGAGACAGGTCAAGCGAGATGAGCTTCCCCCTAGTTGTACTTGCAGCAGAATATCTGAAGAACTTGCACAATCTGTTTACATTACCAGCTGTTGCCCATTCTCATCACCCATGACTCTTTTTGAACCACTATACAGTGGTACCTCGCATTACAGACACTTCAGGTTACAGACTCTGCTAACCCAGAATAAGTATCTCGGGTTAAGAACGTTGCTTCAGGATGTGAACAGAAATTGCGTGGCGGCGGCACAGCGGCAGTGGGAGGCCCCATTAGCTAAAGTGGTGCTTCAGTTTAAGAACAGTTTCAGGTTAAGAACAGACCTCCAGAACGAATTAAGTTCTTAACCAGTGGTACCACTGTATTGGAAGCATGGTCCTCAGCATCATATTGCAATAGATTCTGAATAGGGGCACACCATATATCATTCAGAGTCATTAACACACTGTTACATGAAATCTAAGTTATCCTCCCTCAGGCAGAAACTGTAGGTACACGCAATATGATCTTCACAGTTGCCTAGGTAGGAAAGCAACAGTGGGTGTAGATAGTTGTTCAACCAGTTGCATGTTTGTGGTTTGGCAGTACTGTTGATGAAACAGTAATATATATGTTGTAGCTAAAATGAGTTCACTGAGGAACGGACATAACTGCTGATGATGTGCATACGCATGGACAATGTGCACAAACTGATAGCATAGCCATGAGGTTTCACAGGTATCCCTGCCAACTGGCATAGACCATAAGTGGTGATGGAGAATATGCACAGTGGTATAATGTCAATTGGCAACTACTCAAAGTACTTATTCTCTACTTGGCAACTATGGGATGAATCCAATAAAACATGAAGCACTAGCAGTTTGCTCATGGCTTTGTAGTATGGAACTTTTTGCACTTCAGCCATTTTGTGAATGTGTGGAGAATTTAAACTGCAAAGTTATTGAGAATATTAGGTAACAATGTACAGCGGTTATGCAAGAACTTTGCTCTGGCCTTGCTCACTTGGCCCTCGGAAGCTTGGCCAGATACAAATGCGGCCCTCAGTCTGAAAGAGGATCTCCACTTTCGGCTTCTGCTAACTGCAGAGAACATCAATGAATCTCTAGCAATGCTGTCCCACTAAATCAAAACAGATTTTTACATAAGCAGAAGTGGCTTCCACTTACAGAAGTGTACCTTTTGATCCAAGCCTGCACACACTGTCTGACAATATCCCCATCCCCTCATACTACGGTTTGCTGTGTTATTCAATATGGTAAGTTCAGGATGAAGGGGCAACAGCTCCATGTGGACTCTCTGGGTGGAAGAAGTAAACACCTGTAAGCTTATCATATTTAAAATGTACCGGAGCTACAGCTACGATGAACATAGTCGTGACCAAGTTTTCAAAGAAAAGAAAAGTTGGGCAAAGAAGATTAGAGATTAACAGCCAGCGTGGTTATAGAATTGAGATATTACAAACACTTGCAGATTTCTCTTTCCAGTTCAGATGTTTAGGGTAGCGGAAATGCTTCTAATGCTCAGTTAAATAGAATTCTGCGTTTGAAGAATTCTTTGTATAGTACTTGGATTTAAATCACAGGGCATTTCAGACCTGCTACTATGTTCAAAGGAGCTACTGTGAAAGGATTTAAGAAAGATATTGCTACTGAGAAGTAAATATAGCAAGCATTCTTGTGACTGGATTTGAAATGAAAGAGACTTTTCCTGCTTAAGCAGGAATCTCATCAGCTGAAACACAAAAAGATACTTATTGGCTGTAATATGGCTTGTTTTGTAGATGGTATAATTTATATGCTGGATGTGCAATTAAGGTTTCTCTAGTAAAAGCACATTCAAGTTCAAATAAAATAGTTAACTAGTGCAAAACGTTATTTATAGCTACTATCCCATTGATTAAAAATCTAAAAACCAAATTTTACTTCAGTGCCTGACATTCATGACTTGCATTACCATTCTTCAGTGAGTGCACCCCATCCATAAGGATGAAAGAACAATTGGGAATTTCTAAACAAAAAACAAAACAAAAAAACCTGATGCCATCTTAAAACAAAGAGACAATGATACATTCCTACATTGCTTCATCTATGCAACAGATGGACAAATGTATCAAATCAGTTAAATGCAAATGAGTGCTTTGGAGAATTAGGCAAGTACCAAATAAAGGATAGAATGATTCTCTCTCTCTCTCTCTCTCATACGCACACAGAGAAATTGGGGGGGGGGGGTAATCCATCATAGGGGATGTACAGTTTTCTAGTGAGGTATCTTTGAGCCTATATTGTTATCATTAACAAGGCACAGAAACACGAAAGAGAGCACCAGCTGGCCTCCATTGTGGGTCCCACACTATAGTATTGGCTCAAAGGTCTGACTTTTCATTTCTAATCTTTGTATATCGTAGTGCTGTTTTATTGCTATGGCCGATGGCTGACACAAATAAAGATTCATTCATTCATTCTCTGGAAATGTTACAGTGACCAGCCATATGCCCATGGAAATCCTCTGAGCAGCACCTGAGTGCAATAGCACTAGCACTGCTTGTGGTTCCCAGCAGATGGTATGCAGAGGCACACTGTTCCCAACACTGGAGGGAAAGCATAGCTTATCCTCCATGATCTAAATGGCCTTGGAATGTCATTACTTTGAAATTTGTGTGGTTGTGTATTTTGCAGATTTTTGAAATTGTGCACAAGATACAAATTGTTGGTACCTTATCATTGCATGGTCTGTGCTTGACTCCTTTTACGACAAATAATAAAATAGTGCAATAACTTATTTCAAGCCACAGTTCAAAAAGAACAGAAACCTTTGGCCAATTCACACATTTTTCTGTCAGTGACCAGCCCTAGGAAACCCTGGACATGCATACGTGTAGTAGACCAACAGGAACTCTCCATGTTGGCTGAGGTTGATGAAAGTTGTAGTTCAGAACATCTAGAGGGCACCAACTGGTGAAGGCTGATGTAGGTCAGCATTAACATGTGAAACAAACAATTGTGCATATGGCTGCTGGAAATTCCTGCCTTTGCAGCAGACAGGAAAAAAGGAATCAAAAAGCTGTAATCATGTTAATTGCTGCTGTCCATTTCCATGATTTCCTGGTTTGCATTGTCCATGGCAAAGAATGGCCAAGGAAGACTGACACTGATTGGAGACAATATTATGGCATCGGCCCTGAGCTTGTTGATAAAGTGCATTCCTTTTTGGGCACCAAAAGCTTAATGTAATCCACTCAGACAGAATAGCTAATCATGGAATATGTCTTGCAACCTGTTTTTAAAGCTACAAAATAATATTCAGCATTGCTCAGATATAGAACTTTACTGCTGTGCTTCTCCAGAGCTCCTTTAGACCTGTAAATGCTCAATTACCAGATACATTTTTAAAAAGGTGAATTGCTGGGGAAATAGTACCCAGAATCATAGAGTTGGAAGGGAACCTGAGGATCATCTAGTTCAACACCCTGAAATTCAGGAATATGAAGCAGGATCAAACCTGCAAACTTGGCACTATCAGCACCACACTCTAACCAACTGAGCTACCCAGACTATGCCTCTAAGAAACAGGATACTGTGATTAATTAACAAGTGAAGAGGTCACCTTCCAGTAGCCAGCCAGACCTGTGGAGATCTGAAGGAAACCAGCACAAATATTTTCAGCAATTACAGTTGTGGGCAGAAATGTTACTAAGGAGCAGCCTACAACTAGCTGTGGTAGGCGAGAAACTAACAGAAACAGGAAGGAAGGGAAAACAGGAATATCCAAATAAATTAATCTTCATGAGATGCTGTCACTGTCCAAGGTAAGATTGAAAAATAAACAACTGCAAGAGAAAAAGTGAGATTCATATTGGTAATTTCTGAGGTGCTAATATTCGTAAGAAGGGTGGGAGAAGCTGGCAGAATCAATCAGAATAAGTCTCAGCACATATGCAGGAGGAGGAATCGTTCAGTTTGAAGCAAGTAAGCAGACAGAGGAAAGATCATCTGGAGGGGAGATGGATTGCAGGGGAGAGGGGCAAACTGCATGTGATGGACATTTCTGAGATACTTCCTTTCACTGTAAAACTTAATAAAATGGAATTGTAGGAAGCAGAACTTGAGATCAGACCAGGGACTGCTTAAACCTTTTCCTTTCTGCCATTTGCTCCAAATCACACCTACTCACAGTCTACAAGATTTCCTTTTTACAACACTGAGGGGAAAGAAGGTGACTTAAATAGATAGCTACTTCTCATTCCAACAGAATTTGCTATGGGCTGTATTCAGCCCATTGCCTGTATAAGTCAGGGCCCTGGAGTCTGCTACAATTGTGTGTTGGAAGCATCCAAACAATGTTATACAATGTTATTATATACATCTGGAGACACAGGTGGCACTATGGTCTAAACCATTGAGCCTCTTGGGCTTGCTGGTCAGCAGTTCGAATTCGCATGAAAGAGTGAGCTCCCATTGCTCTGTCCCATCTTCTGCCAACCTAGCAGTTTGATAGCACACCAGTGCAAGTAGATAAATAGATACCACTGCAGCAGGAAGATAAACAGCGTTTCTGTGTGCTCCGACACTTGTCACAATGTTCCATTGCACCAGAAGTGGTATGACCCAGAAAGCTGTCTGTGGACAAACGCTGGCTCCCTCGACCTGAAGCGAGATGAACGCCGCACCCCATAGTCGCCTTTGACTGAACTGAACCATCCAAAGGTCATTTACATTTACCTTTTACATTTACATCTGGAGAGAGAGAGAGATACATTGCTTGTACTTCCATTAAAATCTTGGACCCTAGGCTACCATTTCTGCCAACCTAAGAATCCTATATTTTGTGCTGTAGTTCACCTGAATTTAAATGACAAAATATGAACAATGATTTGGTTGAGAAACTATACCTGTACACCCTAATAAACCTACTGATCTTGAGGTCTGTGAACATTGGCAGCTCTGGAAAGAGGAGAGAAAACCTGTTTTGGGCTACTGACCAACTTTCTGCCAGAGATCACTGCTTAAGGGGCATTACGACAGAGTGAGAGTCTGTTGGCACAGAATGGAGACCGCTTTGTGTGAGAGACAGAGAATGAGAAGTGGGGATGGGGAATGCTGCTAAAGCTGTTTGGTTGCTTCAGTCTCTTAGATGTCCTGTTTTTCTTACCCAGGTATTTGGTTCAACTGGAAATTCTGATTGTCATCTGTAATGGCGTTTAGTTTTGCTTCTTTTATGATTAAGTTGTGAAGTTGTTTGTGTTATTTATTGGACTTGGGCTTTTTATGGATTCTGTAATTTTTGTATATTCCTGTTCTTTTTCTGTGTAATTTTAAATATTGTTTCATAACATTGTCCCCCAGTGAAGAGCTGGTTATTAATACTTAGAAACAAGCAAGTAAGCAAACAAACAAACAAACAAACAAACAAACAAACAAACACACAATACATTGTTCAAGATCTGTATTAAAATACTAGGATTTCACCAAGTATCTTTCTGGGTTTTAAATCAAATAGCACCATCAGTAACTAATGTGAAGAAGAAGAAAAATCATGTGTGGCAGTGCTGTGACATTAAGGCAACCAGTCTGTCAAACAGACACATTTATTAAGACGAGCTCGGTTATCTGTTGCAGCACAGCCACAGTGATCTACTGGGTAGCAGTAGTTGTCAGTTGGTGACAGTGAGATCATAAAGTAACTTGATCAAATGTTGCTAAGTCTAAGATCACATTTACAAAAGAATAATATATGCAAAGCTTTTGTTCCTAAATATATTTTGTATTCCTTCCTAAGCTGGTGACACATTCCTGGAATCAAACTTTACATTTTGTTAAAAGAATAGTATATTGGTTGAACATATTCTTGCATGAATATACAAAATAATTGCTAGTGCTGTGTGCTGGATTCACCTGAGTCCGGAGCCAGAAAAATTGGCATATTCAGAGGGACTTGGGTCCGGGCTCAGTTGAGTTGGGTGCGGACAGCCACAGGTGCTACAGGTCAGGACTGTATGGCCCAGAGTGATCCTTCACTGTCTGGTAGTGGAACATCAGACAAGAAAGAGAAGCAGACACCTGGCAGCGAAGCTCTGCTAAAAGAGCTACCCTCAATGCTCGATGGGTTATCCAGAACAAGGTAGGAGCCTCTTTCCTGACTCTCCTGTGTGGTGCAGGATGTCCACCTGCAAGTGCCTTCACTGCAGAAAAGCTGCTTTGAAACAAGCACTATGCATGAGGCTGGAACGGCACCTCCAAGTTAATTTGGGAAGGGATACCAGGGAGGAGAGATTGAGGCCATGGGGCAGACTGGGGTCTGTGCACAGCCCTGATAAATATTTGGCACTAACGGGCAAAACGTGATGAGTCAAGCTACACTCAAGTCCCCTCTTTGTGTTACTTATGTGAAAGGTAGGCCATACACCCCCACAATGGAACTGGACACATTGCCCAGCCCTTCCTGGACATATTTGCATTAGTGTGGCAAAGGATGGACGCATGATCATTCCGGTGTCCCATCTGCACTGAGCCAGCAGCTGCTCACTGTAAAATGGTGCTGTGGTGAAAACTTTTTCTCGTCTCGAAGGGATAAAATTTGCTTGCTTTAAGTGGGTGAAAAGTTTCCTAGCAACCCAGATAGTGATGGAGGCGTTGTGGGATGGTTTTTGCTGTTCATAAGCTAGCTTTTGAAATTAAGAAAGAAATAAAACTTTGTTAGAGAATACCTTCATTTAAAAGGTCAGAGCTCAGGAAATGCCAGCCATTGCTTGCCTGCCCTCTCCATCTCTATTTTTCCTCCCAAACAGCAATAGACAAACGGTTTAATTGAATACCTGGGCAATTTAATGAGAACACTTATGTGCCGACAAGCTGGTTAATAAGAGTGGGCAGTCAGAATTGAATATGTTTAGAGAACAAATGGTAGTTTTTAACCCTGCCTGTTCAATTCCAAATTCCAGGCTACTCCCCTCAGCGTTTTCCAATCAACTGGGAAAGAATCCAATAACATATGTGAAATCGTTCCCTTCCACTTAACACTGTTTACCCATCCCATCACCTGCTTATTGAATACGGCTAATATATATCCTATCTGGATTTTGCAGTCAGTCACTTTTTCTGAGTTACTGATCTGCCCCCTCCCCATTCTTCCGCAGCACTGAAATTTTTTTAAACATTTTTTTTTTACTTCTTTGTCATTGAGAAGGTCAACTTCTTTCCTGCAGCACAGCTCATGTTCAGTTATGTACAGTTTTAAGCATTTCTGTCTGGTACTTTTCACCCCCTGGAGGAATATTGCATAAGTTTTCATGAGTGCTTTCTGACCAAAAAAAAAGCATCCAGACTCAAAAATACTGATATAAGAGGTTTGGGGGATCTTGGTGAGTAATACACATAACCTCTGTAGTCAGAGTTGCATGGCTTAACTTCGGCTCTTGGGTGTAACTGGAAAGAGACTTACGGCTTTAGTGGCATTTCTAGTACATAATATTAAAGAACAAAGAAAAGAATGTCACAAGAAAAGTTCCGAACAACAGCATGAGATGTTTTATTTCCCTCAAAAAGTCCCCCCACCACCACCTTCACAGCAACTAGAGCACTACCTAAGTTCTCCATCAGATGCTTTTTGCTTTGTTGATGTATTTGGAACCACAACTGAATCCTATAATTGAAGATAAGAGTTTGCAGTGTGCTTTTCTTCCATTTGTAAATCCTTAAATCGTGTTGCAAAATGAAATAATGCATAGGAGAATGAAATAATAGACGTGTGCACAAATCTTGTTTTAATTATCATCTTTGGGTGGAATTCAGTGTTGAGTGAGTGGCCTTTGACTTGTGCAACACAATTTCACCTTCCTATCCACACACCCCAGTCCTTGCATGCCCTCCAAATCTGCTCCCAAGATCCCTAAAGTTTCTGGGGCAGATTTTCTGAGCATGCGGGGTGGGGGGGGAGCAAATTAAAGTTTCATGTGCCTAGTTCACCATTGGGTGTCTTTTTTAAAAAAAGATATGAACTATTTGGCAGTGAAGCATATATGAGCCAACTAGTGAAGAACACAGTCAGTGGATTTGTGACCATTTTCTCAGTTCAATAGGTTTAAAGGTTGAGAGAAGTGTGGATATAGTAAAATATTGGATGTTGCCCAATGGAGCAGCCTCCCAGGAGAGAATCTTTAAAAAAAATAAACAAAAAACCCCCACAATTTTATTAATCTAGATTTCCAAGATAGCCTACAACTATAAAACAAATATAAAGTAGATTAAAAACATCAGAAACAAAAGCAGTTATCATAGCAACAGTAAAAATACAAAAAGCAGTTGACTGGAATCATGAAGATTCCTGGGCAGGGTTCTGATCAAATTTTTGAAAATGCTTGTTTACATGCACTAGTTGTCAGATATAATATTCTCCCAGATATAACAACTGAAGGTTGTGTATATTCTGTGATGGTACCCCAGTTGTGGGAATCTCTTGCTAGAGATGTTTGGTTTGTCAGTAACTCTGCTAAGTGAAAACAATTCTTGTTGTTTCTGCTTTTAATGAGCAGTGATGACTACTATATTGCTGCAAT